GTTTTCCGCATGATGCATTTGCAGTTCATTAATGGTAATCAGTATTATTCCACAGATTGAATCTTTCTTGTGGTTGAGCTTTTTGTCAGTTTATTTGCTCACATCAGACCCTGCTGTGTCTTAACCAAGTACCATATACATTTTCGTACATTCTAAACAATTGTAGTTGATTTTTTGCTGATGGCATTGTCATTTGTCTTTTTACCAAATCAAATAGCTCTTCTACTTTTCTGTAAGCTGTTCCAATTGTCCTACAATTCTAAACTACTTTCAATTTCAACTCTTCAACAGCAATACAATTATTCATTGTACTTCCACCACAATTAAGTTTGTAAAATAAGGGAAGATTACAAACATCCAAAAAGAAACTGAGTCCTTTTTTTTAACCTCTTCATTCTTTTATGGAATGTGAGTATTGCTGGTATGTGTTGTCCGTCCCTAATTATCCTTGAACTAAGAAGCTTTCAAAGCCATTTCAGAAGACATTTAAGAGTCAAGCACGTTATTGTGGGTCTGGAGTCTAATGTAGTCCAAACCAGAAAAGGATGGCAGATTTCCTTTGCTAAAGGAATTCTGAACCAGATGAGTTTTTAACAAAATCTATAATGGTTGCATCATCGCCATTAGACTAGTTTTTAATTTCAGCTGTGAAAGAACACAGACCAAATGATTTGAGCAGAGCTTTTACTGTCTTCTATTCTATAATTCTGTCCACAGTACAGCTCAACACAATGTTAGAGGTGTTCTTCTCTGAAAGTGAATCCCTGGTATCTGCCAAATGCGACATCAAGGTTGTGATTGATTGTTAAGTAGACCATATCTAACAGATCCTTAGACAAATCAAAGGTCCAGTTGTGCTGCTTGAAGAATAGAAATTCCTGTGTCTGGGCTAATGTATCTTCCTCAACCAGTGCCTCCCAAATGGTCATTCATTGCTTTAAACTGTTTAAGAATTTTGCATACAAATTGGCTGCTTTGTTGCCTACGTAACAGTGATGAGTATATTTTCAAAGTAATTTGATATTGTTGGGCACAAAGTTGTTACAGAATGAAGAACTTTGGATTGTCTTGAAGGTGTGATAAAGTACTAGAAATATGCTTATTTCCTTCCATTTCACTGATCACTGTTGTAGTTTAAGATGTTGAGTATCAAGTCTGTTCAAGCTTAAAGCTTCACACTTGCATCATCGTTTATGTTTTCCAATCTTCAACACTTATCTGTAACATAATCTAAATACCATTTTTCTCACACTTCTCTATTTTGCCCAACTCGTGTTGTTCTGGATATGCCTTTTCAGATTTAAATGTCCATCTGATCCTTTTAAATTTTCTAAATGTATAACAATAATGTGAATTAAAAACAATTAGAAAAGCATACCAATTCTTGAGACTGCTGATTCAGCAGTTTCCTAAATTCCATTGCACCACCAACAATCTTAATGTTTTTCAGCACATGCCAGTGAAATTAATTTAGCAACAATACAAGGACGTCAAATTTCCTAAGGGATAATTATAGGACACCAGCTCAATAAAGTATAAATGAGCTTAACTTAGTACACAAAATAATTTTAAAACCTTGGAAGAGCTGATGTTTCCATCACAGTTTAATTTACTATTTTACTAGAAATTTAATTTCTTTCTAAGATAAATATCTATTCTTTCAATTTTTGGGCTGAGCTTAGCTCTGCTTTCCTAAAAGTAGTATTTTGAACATTCTCCATATATAGCTGCCATATTTATTTTGCCCCAGTGTCTATTTTGTATACCCTGTATTAATTTCTAGCTATAAACGAACAAGAAGTGGCATTTTCCTTCTTTAATTAACTTTTTTGCTTGATGCCATTTTGTAAGTGATATTTAAAATATAACAGATATGCTGGTGTTGATTTGATGTTAAGTATCACGGCATTATTGAGGTCATTATTTTCCAGTTTTCCGTTTGTATAAATGAATCATCTTGTTCAGATGCAAAATGAAATAGAACATATATCATAGAATGGATATCTCACAAGCCTTATGTAAAATGAAGTTATAATTGCTTGAGGAATTTAGGAAAATAGTTTCTTTCAGTTAGGTTGCCTATAGTATTGTTAGTAACGTAGCTTAATCATTTTTGTGTTTAATTGGATATATTTTTTGAGCACTCCCACAGCAGCATGACAATATTTTATTTTTGTGCATCTGGTATAATTTCAGATATGTAATTTTGGAACATATATATTTTTTTAATAGATGTATGAATCAATTGATCAAACTATAACAGAAGACGACCTGGCCTGCATTCTGAAGAGTGCTTTGGGAGTAAATAAGCTTGATGTATCAAACTTGTTTAAAGTTATTGATACTACTCAGGAGAAGAAAATAAGCTATAGTAAGTGTTTTATATTCTCTTGATTGAAGCCCTTAAATGCACAAAATGTTAAATCGCTATTTGTCCAGAAAATGTAAACAGATGTCAGAAGTCCTGTGTAAAGTTGCTTGACTTCCCTTTCTCGCAGATTTGCTTATGCAGACATGCTGTTTTGCATTAATCCCATTATTACCAAACTGACATTTCATTTTAAACAAAGGATTTTCTATTTTAATGTATTTTGGCAAATTGATTACTAGTTTTTAAATTGTAATTCAGTTTACTTTGACCTCAATTATCAGACTTACTAACGTATTCAATCCTAATACAAACTAGCAGTGGAAGAAAACCATTCAGCTGTTGAACCTGTGCTTCATAATAACAGGAGCAGGAGTAGGCAATTCATCCTCAAGCCTGCTTTGCCATTTGATACGATCATGTCTGATTTCATCTTGGCCTCCCTTCCACTTTCCTGCCTGCTTTTCACAACCCTTCAACTCATTAAAAATCTCTCTTCCCCCGTAAATTTACTCAATGTTCCAGCATCCACCACACTCTGGGAGTAGTGAATTCCATAGATTCAGAACCCTTTGAGAGGAGTAATTTCTCCTCCTCTCTGTTTTAAATCTGCTATCCTTATCCTAAAACTCATCTTTTGTTCTAAATGCTCCACATGAGGAAACATTCTTTATGTATCTAGTTTGGCAGTCCCATTTTGCATCTTGTATACCTCAATTAAATCTCCTTTCATTCTTCTAAACTCCAGAGAGTAGAGGCCTAAACTGCTCAATCTCTTTTCATAAGACAAAAACCTTATCTCTGGAATCAATCTAACGAGCCTTCTCTGAACTATTTCCAATACACCTAAATCCACCTACAAGGGGATCAAAATTGTATGCAATACTCAAAGTGCAATCTCACTAATGCCTTGTACCATAGCAGCAACACTTCCTACTTTTATATTGTATTCCTTTTAATTGTATATGCTAAAATTCCATTGTCTACGTTATTATCTACGTACTAGTGTTTTGTAATTCGTGCATGAAGCTCTCTGAAGTTTCTCTCCATTTAGATGTTAAGCTGCCTTTCTGTTTCTCCTTGAAAACAAATGACCTCACACTTATCAACATTAAACTCCATTGGCCAAATTTTGGTCTATTCAACTAACCTGCACATATCCATTTGTAAACTTCATATTTGTTCATGGCAACTTATTTTTCCATTATTTTAGTGTCATGTACAAATTTGGCTTTAGTACTTTCTGACCCTCAAATACAAACCCCACCCCCCCTACTGTTTTCCTCTTACCTTGTCTTTACTCTTTGAAATGCCATGACTTTCCACTTCTTATCCCTTGCTGCTGCTAGTTAGGAAGCAGAGTGGGTTTTAAACTTAGTTTTGTGGTTCATGAGAGCAGTGGCTCCATCATGTTCAAGTGTAGACTGCCTACACCAACCTTTTAAGCTACTTATCGCTCTAGTTTTATGTACCCAATGCCAATTTGCACGTGATGTAGGTAATAATAGAGATTGTAAACTTTTCAAGCTCTACTTTTCAATTTGGTGCCGAGTTTTTTGTACTGTTGTATGCAGATCCCTGTTCCTAGTTTTACCTATGCTATTAGTACCTGCATGGACTACGACATCTGGATCCGCCCCCTCCTACTCCACTTTCCTGTCCAGCCCTGAGCAGATGTCCTGAACTCTGCCACAAGTTGGGCAGCATAGCCTCTGCTCTTGGCTACTCCAGAATAGTGCCAACCCACGGCACGGTGGCTCAGTGGTTAGCACTGCTGCCTCACAGCGCCAGGGGCCTGGGTTCAGTTCCCCCTTGGGCAACTGTCTGTGTGTGGAGTTTGCACATTCTCCCCATGTCTGCATGGGTTTCCTCCCACAGTCCAAACATGTGCAGGCTAGGTGGATTGGCCATGCTAAATTGCCCATAGTGTTCAGGGATGTGTGGATTAGGTGGGTATGGGGAATGGGTTTGGGTGGAATGTTCTGAGGGTCGGTGTGGACTTATTGGGTCAAAGGGCCTGTTTCCACACTGTAGGGATTCTATGGAATATATAATCCCCTACTGCCATAATATTCCTTTTCTTCTGCCTTAAAATCATCCTGAACCAAGGTCACTGTGCTGCTTTTCCCTACTGAACTTGCTTTCATCTTCACAGTCAAGCACTTTAAAACTTTTCAAGGGCTATGGCTCCTGTACTGCTGTATTCTCCCCCATCTGCAATCTGAAGGAGTTTATGCCAATTTCCAACAATTGTTCTCTATAGTGAGCAATCCCAAAGGACCCTCCTTCCATGGCTTCACCTGACAAAGGAGCAGTGCTTTGAAAGCTTGTGATTTCAAATAAACCTGTTGGACCATAACCTGGTGTCATGTGACTTCTGACCCTTCCTCATCGGCAGAATAAGACTTCATGTAACCTCCTCCCTAGTTGGTTCCTCAGCATGCAAGTTTGTATATATCCCATTCTACACTAAACTTCAAATCTTATTGGTCTAGTATGTATGAAGATTAAAGTCCCCCAAAGTAGTTGTACCTTGTTACTTTACCTGTAATTTCCTGACTAAGTGTTGGATTACAAAGAGGGTAGAAAAGGTTCAGGAGATGGGGTGAGAAATGCCAGATCTTGAATGTAGTTGGCTAAGGCATAGAATTATTCATAGAATCCCTACAGTGCAGGAAGAGGTCATTTGGCCCTTTTGAGTATGCACCGACCCTCTGAAGAGCATCCCACCCAGACACACTGTTGTAATCCTGCAGGGGATTTTTATCATGTCTAACCCATCTAACCTACACACACCTGGACAATTTTTTAGCATGGCCAGTCCACCCAACCTGCATAACTTTGGACTGAGAGAGAAAACTGGAACACCAAGATGTTTAGTGAGGCATAGGAAATAGGCTGCATGTGTGCACCAAATGTTCTTTGTGAACAATTGGTTTGTGACTGTGAAGAAAGGCAATGATGACAGATTTGAGCATGAAAGTTAAAACTTTACATTCAAAATGTTGGGGACCGAGAGTCCATTCAGATCAATGGATATCTGCACAATGGAAAAATGATAGTTTACGTGTGATAGAGTGTAAGCGTTAAGTTTAGGATAAGCTGAAGTGGCAGATAGGTAACTCCCTAGAAGAGGGTTCGCATATTTGAGTCTGGAGGTGGTGGATGCATTGAGGGCTGCCCAAATAAGGTGAGGCAGGATCAGCAGATGTTACAAAGGTGACAGTAGTCAAAAATTTAGCTTAAGCAAGGATTGTTGATTTAAACAGTGTCAGTCTCAGGTTGAAAGATAATGTTGTGGCTGGAATTCATAGAAAATGTACAGAGTTTGTGGCAGGAGCCAAAGTCAATGTCTTTGATCATCTCAATACTTATCAGAAGAAATTGCTGGGCTGAAAGTCAGATAAACACAAAAGTGTTGGAGCTATGGGCGGGATACATCATTTGCATGTGAAACCTGACTCCATGTCTCTGGATGATATTAAAGGACAGCATGCAGGTAAGAAAGAAAACTCAGCCAAAGATATTATCATTTAGGGAGCCACCAAAGCTGGCATTGGAAAAAAAATTCATGGCTGGATAGTCTCTGCCTATGATCCTGTTATCAGCTATTCAATTGTAGATAGCTCCACTGAGCTGGACAACAGAGGAACGTGTTGCTGAAGTCAGCCATATTTAACGCTACAGGAAGGTTAGTACTCAATAAATTATAGATGAGTTGTTTGCTGAATATAATCGATCAACCAGTCAATCATAGAATCTCTACAGTGTGGAAACAGGCCCTTCGGCCCAACAAGTCCACACTCCCCCTCCAACATCACACCCAGACCCATTCCCCTATAACGCATCTAATCTACATATCCCTGAACACTTTGGGCAATTTAGCATGGCCAATCCGCCGAGCCTGCACATCTTTGGACTGTGGGAGGAAACTGGAGCACCCGGAGGAAACCCATGCAGTCACAGGGAGAATGTGCAAATTCCACACAGACAGTCACCCAAGGGTGGAATCAAACCTAGGTTCCTGGCGCTGTGAGGCAGCAGTGCTAACCACTGAGCCATTGTGCTGCCCATCCCACTACAAGTGTTGGAAGTGAGAGACGGTGACCATATTGATTAGGAAAACTATTACAGTGCCAAGGGGAGAGCATGTAATGGATAGATCAAGGGGAGTATCAATTTGGTTAGAGCTGAAAAACAACAGTGGTACCATTACACCATTGCATACTGTATATTAAATCATCCACCACATAGGAAAGAGGGAAATATTTGCAGGAAATTAGAGTACAAAACGTGAAAGGTTTAAGCATCCTGCTGTAAATTGGGATAAAACTGTAAATTCAACTAGAAGGATGAGTTTCTGAAGTTCAGGAGAACTGTCTTAATTAGTATGTTTTCAGCTCCTGAAAGAAATATTGCTATATCTGACAGCTAGAGAACTCTTAGGAAGTTCTGCAGGGGTAGTGTTACTGGAGCTTTATGCATAATCTAACCAACAACATGGCTACTCTAAAAGTCTTTTGATTTCTGATACCAGATGCAGTAAGTATCTCTAACATGAAGAAAAATGTTGTACTACATAGCAATGTCAAAAGTCACTAATTATGTTTACAATTCACTGTCAAAACATAAGAATTTGTTATCCAAAAATCCTTTTAAAGTTTATGCCATTCATAAGCTTAGATGGTTAATTGAAAGGTTCTTGTGGTGTGGTGCTAGTGTCCCTACTTCTGAGCCAGGAGGTCCAGATTCAAGTTCTACCTGCTCCAGATGTGGGTAATAGCAACCCTAAACAGGTTGATTAGCAAATATCGAAATGGTTAATTGGTGCACAAACCTTAACATAGAATCATTGTCCCTGCAGTGTGGAAAGAGGCCATTTGTCCTATTGAATTTGCACCAACCCTCTGAACAGCATCCTGAACACAGACCCAGGCCCCCACCCTATCCCAAAACCCTGCATTCACCATGGCATTATGGCTAGCAAAAATTCCCAAGGCCCCACTTGCCGCTGCAATGAACACCATCCCAAATCCCAGAATATCAAAACTTGAAAAAGTATGGCAGCAGCCTACATTATTGCCACTAACCATTCTATCCAAAGTGGGTGGTATATGAATGTTGGAACAGAACGTGGTAACAGCTGAAATGGCATTAGCTGTTCCAGTTGAAGGTGGTCAGGGAAACACCATAAATTGCATTTTAAATTTCATTTTTAATTGGGAAACTAGCATCTGTGATAGTCATGAATCTGTGGAATCTGGCCTTTTGAGGGCAAATTTTGTACTGGGTCGATTGGGTTGGAATTGGTAGGATTCATTCCTTTCTCATTCTCAACGGGCATGCATTACTGGCACTATTGGTTCTTAGTTTTTAATCTCTGGCTTCCCAAGAAGGTACTGATAGGTCACTCCCTTGTTCGAGTAGCTGCTTGCTGAGTCATGAGGTTTTAAAAAAAGACCAAACTCTGGTGGGGCAAGAGCCATGAACCAGGGGGGACAGAAGGTTTCCTTCCATTAACAGCGTTAGCTATTGGACTTCTATAGCGATCCAGCAGCTAAATGAATTTTAATTCTGAAACTGAGATTTGAATTTGAATTCACTGGATTCTTCATCCAGACTTCTGGATGACCAGACAAGCGCAGTTGATACACCTACAGATGGGCTGCAGTGATTCAAGTAGGTAACTCACCAGCACATTCTCAAGGGCATCTAGGGATAGACACTAAGTGTTGGCCTTTCCAATGATGCTTGTGATGCATAATGAGTAATGTACCATAACTATTGTACAACAGATGTATAGTCTTTTGACAGAATAATTCTCTCGTGCGATGATAATCACGTGGAAACAACAGTGGATGCAATAAGCTCCTGACCCAATTAATGGTAAAATTTTTCAACATCCACAATAATAGGGGCCCTGATCTTCTCTCCCACCTGCCCCCGCCATGCCCAAAAAAACTTAGTCCAGCAATTTTTTGATCCAAGCATTAAAAGATCTCTGGCTGTTAGGCTTCCTGACACTGTTTGAAGTTGCATTTAGGATAACTGTACACACACACAATACAAAAATATCATTTCTCTAACTTCAGTGGACTTCTGCAAGTTTTCACATGCGAATCCGGATTATGCTGAGGAATACCTTTACCCAGACCAGATGACGGCTTTCACTGATTGCATGGAAAAGCAGCTTGCCGCTACTTCTAATGGGTTTTGCACAGACTTTTCGCCTGATCTCAACAACGAAGATAAAGATGGTACCTTGGACAAAAAGATTAACTAACACCTTGGATAAAATCCTTCTCCTGGTGAGGGGGGTGGACATTATTTCTGTTCTTTCCTGTATGAACTTAACTGCCATTTTTTCTGTATTTATCATTTCTCCAGTTTGATATGATATGAGTTGAGCTTGGTTTTAAAAGAAAATGTAAATGTCATTGGAAGCCAAGATTGTGAAGATGCTCACTATTTGTACCTAAAACTGAAGGGAACCAAGCATCTATTCAGATCCATATTCATGGTACATTTTATAGTGACTTTGCATGTTTAAAACTTGAAGTTCAGTTGTGCTAGTGTATTATTTTGTGCTTTTATCTGTTTGTAGTCCAGTTAACTGTCTGCTTAATTTTAATCACAGAGCTTTTGAAAAATGGTTGTAGAAGATGGGGTTATGTTTCGCTGCCAGTGTTACAATATAACAAACACTTCTGAGGTGTGTTCTGTACTCTTAATGATGTGCTAATTAGGACACTTGCCTACTTAAGATTTAAGTGTCATCACTGTTTCCTTCCCTTGTTGTAATGAGTGGAGAGAGAAAAATGATGTGAATTAAGTTTAGAAAACATTGTGAGGGTTCATCAGTGTTCAGATTAACATTTAATTTTCTGAATATAATTTTAACACCAGGTTATTTCCATTATGGCTGAAATTATTTTTAAATACTACTGTTAATATATCAATAGGTTGGAAAATACTTGGCAATTATCCCATCTAATTCATTTGGTTAACTTTAAGCTGTGGTTTTTAATTGATCTGGTAATACAGCATATTCTGTCTGTAACTACTGTAAAGCAAATTAACTTGAGAAAGTAGCGTGAAAATAAGTAGTTTAACAGACCAATAAGCAGATGACTTATGATGGAAATTTGTTAGCAAGATTTTGAATGAGATGATGCATGCCAAATGCTGAGTAGTATTTGCATATTATGAAACTAGCCTTCCTGTTTGCCATTTGGGAAGGCAAAGTTGTTTCATTCAAGATCAAGAACCATCGGTTATGTGCTAAGCGGGAACATTATGTAATGTATTCACATTCTGGTTCATTTGTATGGTTCATCTGTATTGAATACTTGTCCAATGCAGGGCTATTTAAAACTTGAGAAAAAGGGAATCCAGAATGAATGGTAAATATGTGAAAACTTAAAAGTAAAGTTACAAAGGAAGGGTACACATATAGCAGTAGTGGTGGGATCTTGAACATGACAAACAAAAAAACTAGAAATTCCACAAGAGGGACTGTTTCACCACATGGCTATTAAACTTGAAGATCTGAATTATTTAAATCTATTTGGTGCTGTGTCATATCATGTGGTTGATTCTACTAAAACTAATTGCACTCGCTAGTAACGTCGAGTAACTATTAATATTGCAATTCCTGAGAGAACTGTGTTCTCTCATGTGGCTATGTTTTTTTACTACAGCCACCCACCACAGAGAAAAATGTGTAAGGATGACACACAAATGATGAGTGGACTTTTTAAGGAAAAGAATTTAACTCAAAATTTAATTCTATGCATTGCTGAATTGTTCCATTGAGAAGTGGTCTAGTCATAGTTATTGCCACTCAACTTGAGAACCGGGGGAATATATATGATTTGCATTGAAAGATCCTCCTCCATCTAGAAGATTGCTGTTATCTGAATATAATGGAAATTCACAACTGATCAGTGTTTAATTAATTCACGTGATTGACTGGTTTGGTTGCCTTAACTGTGACAAATAGCACCCCATCAAAGTTATTCAAGGTTAGGATTGTCATGAGCCTTGAATACTGCAGATCCAGCACTACTGCCAGAGAAAATTTGGTTAGTCTGGGGCTGCTGATGTTTCTGCTTTCCACCAGCAAAAAAATAGATTGAGTGGTTTGAAGAAATATGGTTTATGTTTTTGTTTTTCATTTGAATGAAGTGGGAGGAGTGAAACTATTAGATTGCAAAATTGTAAAATGAAGTAAAGTGATTTCCCAAAGGGGGACAGAAATTGAACTCTTTTCCCTTTAAAGGTGTGTGGTCTTAACTGTCTTCCCCTTTTAGGTTGGTTTGGAGCATGTAGAATTCAAATGGATGGAAGCAAAGTATAAGTAAATGTAAGAAGAATGATGATTCATTTGTCTCATTTTTGTTGATAAAATGATAAAAGAACATGTGTGGAAAATCTACATTTTGCCCATACAGAATGATTTTACACACGAAGTCCCGTTACTGTGTGAAGTTAATTTCCAAGGTAAACTCTACCACTTTCGCCTTATTTTCCTATTCTTCCCTCCACTCCTACCACCACCACCCCCAGCCTCCCCCCCCCCTCCCCCCCCCCCCCGGTGGGAATCAATAAATTTTCTTCAATAGATCTGTGTTTTTAAAAATTAATATTACAGTGCTTTAGGGACATTTTAGTAGTAAAATAGCATTGTGCTTAGTTGAAATCTATTGTCTGCTCTTTATCTCAAAGCTTTGTAAATGTAGTTGTTGATTCTACCCTTTTGGCTGAATGATGGTGTATGATGATGAATACTCTGAAGCCAATGAATGGGGCACCTACAGCTCAACATGCTCAGTCCGTCAATCTAAAGAAATCAATGTGGAACTAGAGTTGATGCTGCATAAAGATAGTTACCTGAGAATTATGCTGAAGCTGACTATTTAAAACAGTTGTGTAGTTTAATTTTTGGTTAATATCAGGAATAAATCAAAGCAAATTGACAACTTTGTTTTGATTAACTGTAGAAGCACCTTTTTGTTCAACTGATGTTGGATGACATGAAGCATTTAATGCTGATCATCCAGCTGTATTAATGTTACTATTGATGTTATCTAGGAAATGTTCAAGCTAATATGGAGAAAAAAATTGGAATTATGAATACTGTGAAATTTATAAATATAATCCTACTGAACAGGACACATTGGTACTGCCAGTTGTGTAATCAAATCGTCTTCAAACCTAAATGCAACTATTGCATAATTGTGATTAATAATTTAGAGTTAATATATGCATGTAAATTCTTCCACGTGAATAATGGTGAATCTGATCAAAAGTTAATAAATCTTGGTACTGTACACATTGTGTTGAAGATATTGAACTTAGGATTCCATTTGTGGTTTATGGGGAAACAAAATCTGCTCCAGCACAACATGTAATTAGCCTCAATGAGGATTACTGTGCAATGGGGAAGAGGTTTGGACATGTCCAAATATTGTGGATAATTCCAGGTGAATCGTTTTTAGTGATATTCTTTGAAAAATATTGTACTTTGAGTTTTTTGGCTTGATTTTGTTCATTTCAATTTCCCGTTTTTAAGTGTTTCACTGAACGATGACTTGGTCACATGATTTTGAAACCTGGGATCAGTGCAGTTTCACTGTAGTAAGAATGAATGTTTTCAATCAAGTTCTGAAAAATTAAATAACATTAAATCTATGAAAGTTGGATATTGATTGTGAAAACTAGTTAGTGTACTAACAAAATTTACACAGTACATGCTGTGCTTGACATTATTGGGATTATATCTTTTGGAAGATAACTTGTTTTTGAACTAATTTTTAAAGTGGCTGCATAACTGTATATTATGTAAACATGTTATAATTTGTAATTGTCTTAATGTTCGTAAATGTGGAAATGGCATAACTTCAGTGTGTAACTCCATTTTCAGACACAGGTCATATTAGGTTTTGTAATCTTTCTAATTTGTATACTTCAAAAATACCTCAGACAAGTTGTCTTGTGTGTTCTTGGCTGTCTTTGAAAGGATCTGTAACAGTGTGCAGGAGGCTACTTTTTTGACTACCCGTTGACTATCTGTTGACTACTGTATTTTACATTTATTTTGAACAAAATTGGACATTTTACTTTGAGTTAAAGTTTCACAATGGATTATGTATGGAAACTTGTTGCAGTGATTGATCATATTTTTCAAGTTTTCATTGTACATAAAGGGATCCCTGCTCAAACTTATGTTGGAACTTTTGTATCTCAGTGAAATTTGAGTTGCCTGTATAAATAAACATCAAAAGAGATCTTTTATTTCTTTGCTGATAGGTTATTGAGCATAAAACAAAATAATTATGCAAGAGCAGGTCAAAGGCCAGAATTTTGCCTGTCCACCATCTACAAAATATAAGTCAGGAGTATGATGGAATCTGTCTACTTGCCTGGATGAATGCATCAGCTCCAACAACACTCAGCTTGATATAATCTAGGACAGAGCAGCCTGCTTGGTTTGGTTTTTAAAACAGGAAGCTATGAATAGTTTTAAACATTTCCATGCTGTTATTGGATTCATTGCTTATGCATTTGTGTGAATGAGTTCGTAAGTGCTGAAAGTGGATCCTTTACTGTCAGATTAGTTAACACTACTTCACCACATAATACTAGATCGAAATACTAGACGACTTCCAGCAGTATTTTGTGACCCATGATATATTAGTAATAGCCCTAATCCTAAATTGTTATTTATCTGTATTCCTTTTCCGTTTTTATTTCCTCTTCCATTAACATCTTTAGGTCTAACCGTCTTCAGCTGCTTAATCCACTGCTTGTCTATTGTCATCTGATACCTCAGATACTGACACAGTCCATGTCCAATGAAGCATGACCAAGATAGTATGCAAATTCAGCCTGAAAAATGACAAGTAAATTTGTGCACACACATGCCAGCCAGATACATGGGAGTACCACTGCTTTCAGGTACCCTTCCAAGCCACTCCCTACCCTGACTTGCAAATGTATTGCCATTCCTTCAGTGTTGCTGGGTCAAAGCCCTCTAATAGCATTGTGGATATACCTACCCCATGAACTGCAGCTGTTGAAGGCAGCTCACGACCACCTTCTCAAAGTCTAGTCAGCATCAGCCATAACTCCAAAACGATTTTTCTTAAAATTCTGCCTTTCTTAGAATGTTGTGTAATATTTATTACCTTTATTACCTTTAGTCATCTTGTAGCCATGACACTGTAATAGTGATCATATCAAACTTTTTTATGTCTATAAAAAACTGAAAGAACTGTGGATGCTGTAAATCGGGAACAAAAACAAAGTTGCTGGAAAAGCTCAGCAGGTCTAGCGGCATCTGTGAAGGGAGAAAAAAAGTTAATGTTTTGGGTCCGGTGACTCTTCCTCAGAACTGATGGTGCCTGGAAAAATGTCAGTTTCTATGCAGAGAAAAGAGGAGGGGGATGGGGTGGGAAGTAAACAATAGGATAGAGCCTAAAGAGAAAGTAGAGGGGTTGGACAGACAAAGAGTTGATAACGATCAGGCTGGGAGGTTGTTAATGGGGACTATTAATGACTAATAACAGGTAGTGTGTAATGGCAGGCTATGTGGTAACAAGGCCTGGTGTGTAGGGTGGGAGAGTGCTGGGACATGGGAGAACTTTGGCCCTAATATTATTCTACTCGAACTCAATGTTGAGTCTGGAGGGCTGCAGAGTCCCCACGTGGAAAATGAGGTGTTGTTCTTCCAGCTTGTGTTGAGCTTCATTAGAACACTGCAGCAAGCCAGAGACAGACATGTTGGCCAGGGAACAGGGTGGTGCGTTAAAGTGGCAGGCAACAGGTAGTTCAGTGTCATTTTTGCGAACAGAATGTAGATGTTCTGCGAAGTGGTCACCCAGTCTACACTTCGTTTTTCCCAATGTAGTGGAGACCACACTGTGAGCAGCGAATGCAGGAGATGAGATTCTGGGAAATGCAGGTGAAGTGTTGCTTCACCTAGAAGGTATGTTTGGGCCCTTGGATACTGGGAAGGTAGGAGGTAAATGGGCAGGTGTTGCACCTTCGCCAGTTACAGGGGAAGGTGCTGTAGGACTGTTGGGGGTTGGAGGTTGTTGGCGGTGAAGGAAGTGTGGACCAGGCTGTCCTGGCAATGGTCCCTGCGGAAGGCGGACAAGGGAGGAGAAGGGAATATGTGTCTGGTGGTGGCATCTTGCTGGAGGTGCCAGAAATGGCATCTGATGGTCTTCTGGATGTGAATGCTGGTGGGATGGTAGGTGAGGATAAGGGGAACCCTCTCGCTGTTGCGGGAGGAAAGAGAAGGGCTGAGGGCCCTGTTGACAACCGAGCTGGGGAATCCTCGGTTGGGGAAGAAGGTGGACATTTCTGAGGCTCCCTTGTCGAAATTGGCCTCATCTGAACATATACGACAGAGACTGAGGAACTGAAAGAATGGGATGGAGTCTTTACAGGAAGTGGGGTGTGAGAATGTATGGTCTAGGTAGCTATGGGAGTCAGTGAGTTTGTAGTGGATATTAGTGGCCAGTCTATCCCCAGAAATGGAAACAGAAATGTCAAG